CCTGGGCCCTCCCATGTAGTTCCTTTTTTGGGTTTGGTACGGTTTTTGGGGTTAGGATTGCTATTAGCACTACCAAAGAGGTACTACATTGGAGGGTCTAGGTAAGCCCTGTATAACATGAAGAAGGCTTCAGTTGCCTGAAGTCAAACAAAAGCTGCAACGCACAACCCCCCCAGACCTGACCCAACCCTAAACCCTGAACCCCAAACCCTAGCCCTATAAACCTTAAACGCTGAAGCCCCAGTCCTGACTCAAACATGAGTTCTAAAGCTTGACAAAAATCATGGTTTCCGAAAATTAGGGGTGCAATTTTGGTGGTCACTATAATTGACAAGGTTCATAGTGCTGTGGGGGCCCCGTGTTTTGGGAAACTACCAAGTGAGTTTTGGCTGTTAAATGAACAACGAGTGGGATAATTCGCTTAGAAATTAGGGTTTAGGTTTCAGGGACTTGTTCCAAGCACAAACCTCAAAGTTTAGGTTTAGGGATTGAGGTAGATCCTCGGCCCTAAGAACCAAAGCTCGAAACCCCAAACGGTTTAGTGCGTGGTACGTTCAAGCCCTCCCGAAAAACGATTAAAGAATATGCCCCTCCCAGACATGGGAAGGTAAAAAAAAAAACACCACAAATGTGCCACTAGTTTAGGATTTAGGGCTCCCCCAAACCTAAATCCTAAACCCTAAACCTAGGGTTTAGGGTCCAGATCAAGACTCCAGTGCCCCGTGCTCCAAGAGTTTCGTAACAAGGTCGAAACGGTCCTGGCAAGAAGTTTAGGGTTTAGCGTTTAAGGGGTTCGAGGGTGAGGCTTTCAGGATTCAGGGTTCACAAGGCTTAGCGTTTTGGGACCTTTTTGACTATGCTTTTCTCTTTGCCTATTTACTGCTTAAGCTTTTAAGGCTTAGCACTGAAGGGATTGTGCAGGGTCTCGTACATGGGGGCTGTACAGTGAATGCTCCGGAGATTGCCGGCAAAAGCGAAGAAAGCGATAGGGGGATAGGAGACATATGAGCTTTAGTCGGAACTCCTACAATTGAGCCATTGTATAAACTCCTAGTATCCCCCTCAAAAAACCCTGCAATACTACTCCACATAATCCGCCCTTTAAGGAGTCTAGACGCTGGCTCATGATATGGTCAGTAGAGGAAGGTCTGCAGTGCAGCAGCCATTTTGCGGGATTCCTGTGGCCCTTGTTGAATGGTATGTAGACGACCTTCAGTCCAGGGCTTAGATTCCTAGTTTCCCCAATAACACTTTAAGAATCAGGGTAATCTTTTTTAGTTTTCAGCTTCAAAAAGGAAACCCCCAAAATAAAAAGGGGAAAAGGTACTACTGGGGCACCTAGATTTGGGTTGAGGTTGGAGAATTCCAGGTTCAGGGTTGAATTTTCTGACGGCTTCCAGTGTGAAGGTCCACTGTTGTTGCTTTCGCTGCTGCAGAAGATACTCTGCCAAGGCAAGCCTCTGCCGCGATTGCTCTGCTGACCTCGGAACCCTACTAAAAAGTATGAGTTCTGCTGTTTCTTAGGGTCATTGTAAGCAAAAACGATCAATTTTTCCAAGTACCCCAAAGAGTGAGGTCCCAAGGAGCTGGCAGAATCATTCGATTCTTTGGCATGGGCACGGGTCGGGCTATGGCTACACTTCTTTGTCTGGGCTGATTCTGGAGGTGCTCCGGGAAACTTTATCGACCCAAATATGCGCTATAGTCTAACCTCCTAGTATCCGCCTTAATAACCCCTGTAGTAGTCCCCGATATAATCCCCTATATAACCCCCTTTTAAGGAGTTTAGACTATAGCTCATATAACTAACTGCCCTAAACCCATACCATGCGTCCTTGGCCACTGCATCGTTGATGGCCACGTGGCCCTGCTCGTCGGAACTGTTCGGGTTGGCTTTGCCTGGGCTTCGAAATGACATGGTGCTTGCCCAAATCAAGGTGCGACGTGCTCTCAGGGGCCATTTGAGGGGCTAGAGCGGCAACTACGGTACAGAGGGTTCGGATTAGGATTTAGGATTGGGATCTTTTTATAATATAGACATGAAAGGCGTATCGTGAGGAACTCCTGTGGGGGAAAAAGCTGAAAAGCCTATTAAACTTAAAGGTTTTTAGTGTCTTAGGTCTTAGGTGCATTGCCCTTGTCCAGCGCTTTATTAACTTACCATCCTCTGGTTTCAAACAGAAGGTCACGTTTTTCACGGACATCTGGCATGTTCTCTTATCTGGAGACACTTCCTGGAAGATGAGATGGGCATTAGAGGGATGAGGGCTCTTGAATAAGCTGGGAATTTGCAATATAATATAACATAGTAAAATTTATAATATAACATCGTATAATAGAACATCGTATACTAACATTAATACTTATACTAACACTAATATAATATAATGTACTATAAAACTTACTTAATGGGAGCCCGCAGTGAGATTCGCCCTGATAAGTGTATGGCTGCGAGGTTGCCGCGGCGACGACGGCGACAGTGGCGACCGGGAAGGCCGCGGCGACGACGAGGACGAGGACGAGGAATACGATGGCTTAGGGTTCTTGAGGGTTTAGGGTTGAGGGTGGGTTTAGAGTTTAGGGGGATTTAGGATTTAGGGTTTGAATACTAGTGCTACAGCGCAATGTATCCTACAGCAAGACCCTAAGCTTTGGACCCACCCCCCCTGATGTTGAGGATATGCCTAAATGCAACTGGCTTCCATTTTGAATACTCGCAACAAAAAGTGCCAGGACATGAATTCCATGAAACCACTTGACAGCCCCGGACAGGAATCCATCATCCTCCACATCTGTCTACTCTCATCGGGGCGGACCTGCTCCAAAACCTGAGCCTGAGAAAGTTTTTGGGGGTTTCCCAAAATTAGGGGTACCTTTTGGGGGTCCCTATAATAAGGACTATAGTATTTTGGGGTCTATATTGGGGTCCCCTTATTTTGGGAAACTACCATATGGTCAGTATATCACTTTATATACGCTCTATATATAGTTCATTATCCCATGGCCCTCCAAGCAAACCATGCTGCGATTTGGGAAGTTCTGAACATTGCATCCTCTAACTTGGCCCTAGATGTGGATTCTGCAGGGCACCAATGCGCGCAAGACAGCGCGCAGTGACAAAAAACCAGGCCCTAGTTACAAGTATGTGATACGGATAACCAGCCACACGCATTGAGTCGACTACACCCAGTTGATGACCAGCAACCACTACCCCAAACCTATGACCCTTTCCACAGCCCGGTGTATCCCTATAACATCTGCACATTCCCTTGGACACGAAGCGTAACAGCAAAGACATAATACCTCCTGCAGTCAATGGCAATAATGGTCGCAATAGTAAAAGTACTTTCCACGAATGAGGGGACCCCAATGTAGACCCCAATATATAATCCCTATTATGGGGACCCTCAAAAGGGTACCCCGAGTTTTTGGAACCCCCCTAGCGGCAACAGTACTTTAGGAGGGACCCCTAGTAGGGACCCTTAATCCCAGTACCAGATATAACCCTTATATAGTCATTATATAACACCTATATCCCNNCCATAAGCTACGAGGGTCCCTATTAGGGGTCCCTCCTAAAGTCCTTAGAAACCCTAAACCACCCTAAACCCTAAACCCTTAACCCTAAACCATTCATTGTGGGCGAGCCGCCCTTGAGGAGCAGCTCGGAGGCACCCGCATGGCCGAACCGCACGGCAAGATGAAGCGGATTGGTCTTCGTGAGGTCCTACCCCCCAGGGGGGTTTAGGGTTTGGGGTTTAGGGTCTAGGGTTTAGGGAGTTTAGGGTTTGGGTTTAGGATTTAGGGTTTAGGGTTGAGGGTTTTGGGGTCCTAAACCAAAAACCCTAAACCCTAAAACCTAAACCCTAAACCTTAAACCAGCCCTAAACTTTACCCTGGCTAGGTACGCTTGGGGCTTCAGATTTCAAGGCTTGGGCTTGAGTGTTTGGCATTTAGGGTAGTTAGGTATATTTGTTGATGAGTCACTAGTAATTAATGTAGACCCCGAATTAATAAACCCCTCCCCTTAATGGGGATTATAATAAGGATCCCAATATCAAGGTCCTTCAAAGGAGAAAGTTTATAAATTCCGGATACCTAAACCCTAAACCCTAAACCATTAGACCCGTAGTTACAAGGAGCTCTAGGCTGATACTCGGTTGAAACCTGGCTTCTTCCGTACGTAGGTCCTCTCAGAAATGGGCATGCATTGCAACAGAATACCATCACGCTAGATACAGAGATCCTGCATGATCCTAAGCACCCTAACCCAGACCCCTGATTAATAAACCCAACTCCCTTAATAGGGCTTATAATAGGGATTCTAATATTTAGGCCCTTAAAAGGAAGGGGTTTATTTATCATGGGTCTACATTACAGTATGTAAATGTCATGCGTAACAAGGAATGAAGTGGCATGATTCCAAACGGTCTTTTCTGTGGAGTATGTCGTCTATATTGGGTACCCCCTGTTTGGGGAAAGTACCAAACCCCATCCTTAAGGTATGTCAATCCTTAGCGTGATCTCCAGATCGGGGGGCGAGGTCATTACACTTTGCTCAGGCGGCAGCATTAAAAGGGTATGTACATCTAAGGCCTTCAGGTTCGGGAGTTTTGGACATAAGGCTTTGCCCTAAACCCTAAACCCCTTAGGGCTTAGGGATGCTTGGGGTCTAGGATGCAAAGGGTCCACGATCAGGGTCTGCAGTTTTGCCTTTGAGTCTCGCGGGTTTGGTTTCAATGTTCGGTGATGCTTTAACCCGAGGGTCCATATACAAAATAATTAGTAGGTACTTGGGATTTGGGTACCAGTAACTTTAGTATAGGCTCTGGTTGAGTATATGATTATAAGGTACTTGGACCCTTCAGGGAAGGTTTTGGGTTTAGGCTTCGAGCCTTTAGGTCTCGTGCTTAGGAAACGCGGATTCAGCTTTGAAGGTTTCGGGTTTGCAAGTTATAGGGCTTCAGGGGCTCAAGGGTATTCAAGGCTATAGGGCTAGGGGTCTAACCCTAAAACCTATACCTTAAAACATCCCTCATGAAAGACCTTGCGAAGAGCCTAATCTCTGAACTTTCACCCATGTTTCATTCCCTAACCTGTCTTTATACCAAGACCCTCAGCCATTAACCCTCAGCCCTAAACCCTATAAGGCCTAAACCCCAAACCCTAACCCTTAACCTTAAACCCCTAAACCCTAACCCTTAACCCTAAACCCCTAAACCCAAAAGCCTACGCACCCTAAACCCTTTGTTGCATCTGGGCTCTGAGGTACTTGCCGGAAACCCTAAGCCCTAAACCCCTATGTAAACCCTAAACCCCTAAACCCTAAGCCCAAAAGCAGTGCGGTCCTCAACTCTTGGATCGGCATTCTTCTCCAGCAAAAGCCTGCTTGGCAACTTGCCCACCAATAAGGCGAGCCCCCCCCCCCCCCCACTAAGAGGGACTAATCCCCTTCCCATACTGTTTCACCCGCCGGAGGTTAAGCATTAGGGGGAGGGGATTACACGGAATAAAGGCAATTATACTAGGCTCTCTATGCATTCCTGGTATGCCGCTATTACGAGTAGCGGGTTGGAGCCTACCCCACCCAACCTATCAACTTCATGCTTATCATTGCTACCATCTGGGGATTATCAAGCCTGGTATGCCCTAAACCCCCAAACCGCAAACCTAGGACCATAAGGGTTCGAACCCGATTTATTGTATTCCCTGTTTAAGCTGCGATAGAACAGGGCTTCTTCTGAGAAAGTCCCGTCTTGCCGAGATTTGACAGTGTGCATTGCAGCAGCTTCCGCACACTCTTTGATTCGCTGATCAAGATGTCCCGACGACTCCTGAACGAACCCCAAACCCTGAACCGCACACACCCTCAACCCCAATCTGCAGGAGCGCAGCTGCACGACCGAAGCGAAGCCCATCTGTGCCGCTGCATGGAGGGCTGTTCTCCTCGTTCCATCGCGCACTTCCTGAGTTGGATCTAGGGTTGTTTATATTGGGGTAATGGAAGAGAAAATTAAAACTACTGTTTAGGGTTTAGGGTTTAGGTTTAGGGTTGTGGGACTAGGATTTTGGGTTTAGGTGGGTAGTAGAAAATAAGTACCTCCGCAGCATAGTGGTGAGCAATGGGAAAGGAGGAGAAACTGGAAACTACTATGTAACGCAGGCTTCAGGGTTTACATGGTTAGTAGGGAATGAGGGGATGGAAGAGCAAACAGAAACCACCATGCTAGCTAGATTGAGGGTTTAGCGTTTTGTAGACTTAGGTGGTCAGGGAGGAATGAAATGAATGCAACAAAGAGCGATTGCAAGGACGTCTGCTCGAACTACTATGAGGATCCAGTCCTCCGTTCACTACCCTGAACGCGAAGTGATGTAGCAGCTTCCCTCATTCCATTCCTGCATTCCCTACAAACCATCCATACGTTGGTTTAGGGCTTTAAGGATTTCACCCTAAACCCTAAACCCTAAACCTAAACTTTTAACCCTAAACTTTGGCCTTCCGGAGTGCAGAGTTACATGGTATACATGTATATATTTGGGTGCCTACGCCAAGGGTTTAGGGTTGAGGGTTTAGGGTTACGGAAGGGTGAACGTATTTTGCGCATAAATCTGTACATGTTTGGGGTCTAATTATTACTTGGAAATGTCCTGGAAGGCACAGGGGACATACGACTTTCTGTCAATGGGAACCCCTAGGGACATATTCAGTGGATGGTGGCCTGACTAGGGATTACTTGGGGAGTCAGTGGCTCCCTGGCTGCAAACCATGTAGACAAACCATTTTACTTACTGCGGGCTGTAGGTGATAAGGGCATATATTATATAGGGATTATACAGGGAAGATATTCCTTTTTACCCTACTGACCACCAGTAAGTTCAAGAGCCGCTACAAATCTCTAGACCGCTCAAGCCTTCAATCCTAAACCTATCGAACCGTCAACAAGCGGTTCGGAGGCGTGGCTAGGACAGTCACAGCTCTAAATTCCTGAGCCTGACCACATAGCTGAGCCCCAGGTAACCACAAACCTCTGCAGTCTAAATTCTTTTTTGGGGGAGGGGACACTGAAGATGTTGCCAACAACCCTTCCTGCAGTACATCCTACCTGGTAAACACCAAGCTAGAGATCCTAAACACCTAAGCCCACGCCTGAACTGCCACGCCCTGACCAAAAACCTGCTCAACGGCAGCCAAGCCTCTGTACTGACTTCGGCATTTTTCCTGAAGAGGTACTTGCAAATGTCAAGGTGGCCAGCATTGGCAGCCTCAGCTGCTGACAGGGCTGCCCTCCCCGAAACCTACTGGAAGTCAATCTAACCCGCCCATTTTGGAAGAATAGTGGTCTTTCGGGCCTCCTTGTTAATGTAGGTATGGAATTTCGCCTCAGCGAAGCCGAATCACAAACACTTGAAATTTTAATAAAAAAACCCAACACGATTGATCCTACCTGGCTCAGCGCTTTAGGGTTGCGCCGGAATGAAGGTCCCCTTTTTGGGGTGGTACGTTGGATACTAAAAAACCGGCATGGCCATAGCATACTGTAGCACCATACTTCCCAAGGTTTTGGGTACATAGGGTCATGCAGGACTTTTGCTTGGTCAACTGGAGGGAGGGACACCGAGTTGGCCCGAAACCCACTCCACACATGTTAGACAATCTAGTTGCAGCTGAATCAAAAGGACACCCTGCATACGCAGTCACCAATGCTCTCAAGACTGCCTGTATACAAGTGCCAACGATTAAAAACAACTACCTCTTGCAATCCTGCACTATCAAAATTGCATCGCCCAATATCCCCTGAATAAGCCCATATGATCCGTTTTCGATGTTATTGTCCATGCTACAAAGTTTGCCTCATTCTCAGCAAAAGCTACATGCCGGAATGAAGGTCCCTCCCTGAATCCCTACTACATCACCCTAACTTGGCCTAAAGCCCACACCCTAAATCCCTTTTTGCTGCACCCTAACCCTAAATCCCCAAACCCTAGAGCCTACCTAAACCCTAAAGGCCCTAAAGAAGCTCAGCAACAGCTATGAGGGGCGTGACCCCAACGTCAGGCTCTGGCATGTTTACGTCTGCCTTGGCCTAGCAGACGCAGCAGGTAGGGTACGCGGATCACGGGATTTAGAATTTAGGATGAAGGGACGTTGGACTGGGAAACACATCAGTTGGTTAACTGTAAGCTGTGAACAATAACAGGTGAAAACCCAACTCATGCAAATTTGTGTTTAAAAAAACACTCCTAAACCCTAAACCCTACAGGAATCCCAACCCATGAAGGTAGGTAGTGCTACATGTGGCGCCTAATGTTCTGCACGACTGAGACCTACATCTTGAGACCAATGCACTACGGGTTCAAGATCCTGAACTCCCCTCAAGCCTGAAAACCCCGCTGAGAGATGGTTTAGGGCTTATAGTCCCCCTAAAGTAGATAGAATATGGCTTTGGGTATATTATAACAACATTCCCATAAACTCCATATCTTATCTACCCCTAGCCTAAACCCTAAACCCTTTAGCGTTTAGGACTTAGAGGGTTCCTGTCCCAAGCGCATGGGTTACTGCAGTCCCTGGAGGGATGATATGGATCCCCTGGCCCACCCCTTCTTGAAAGCACCCGGGCCCTAAAACCTAAATCCCCAAACCTAATTACACTCCCGGAAACTAACATGGAAACCCAAAAAGGGCCTTATAAAGACTACAGTCCTTCTAAAAGGGGGCTATATAGG